CTTCCACGGCGCGGAAAATGAGATGAAGAAGGCAGTGCAGCAGGCGACGAGCGAAGAAGCAAGCATCCGCAGTATCCGGTGGAGGTACATACCACCGGGAGCACCGTTCATTGGCGGAGCGTGGGAACGCCTCGTGAAGTCCATCAAAATCGCGCTAACTGCGGTTTTGCAAGAAAAAAGTCCGCCCGAAGAGGTACTTACGACGCTACTCGCCGAGGCCGAATACACCGTGAACAGCCGGCCTCTCACCCACGTGTCCGTGCACCATGAAGACGACGAAGCTATTACTCCCAACCACTTTCTGCTGGGAGGTTCAGCGCGCGTCCCACTGCCGGGCGAATTCGACGACAGCGACCTGATAGGCCGCCCGCACTGGAGAGCAGCACAGCGCCTCGCCGACCACTTCTGGGCGCGCTGGGTACGAGAGTTCCTACTCGTGCTGCAACACCGGCGAGAGCCCCACGGGACCGGGAAGACCATCGCCGTTGGAGACATCGTGCTCATCGCCGACAGCAACCTGCCACGCAACAAGTGGCCCAAGGGAGTCGTCATCGCCACTTTTCCCGGGCGAGACGGCACAGTACGAGTCGTCGATCTCAAATCTCAAGACAGCCGGAGGAGTGCTACGCAGACCGACTAAGCGACACTCACACGGAAGAAGGATGCAGCAACGAGTCGACCGACGCTGCACGGCGGGACGACCGAAGCGAGAAGAAATAAAGTTTACATCGAAACAAGATTGATTTATAAAATATGTCTATAGATGCAATTTCACATGTAACTGTTTTTTACGATCATTAAAAATATTATTTCCTTGTTGTTTTATTAGAATGAGTCGAATATCGCAATAATAGAGAGCTTTGCCCATAGAAACTGATTGTAAAATTGATAGTTCAAAGCGATATTCTGTCTCTTTCTAACCAATAATCTTATAAGAATTTGCCTAATCGATCGCCACGACGCCAAGCGGTGGCGCTGAGAAACTGTGTTAGAATCTGATAGTTCGGACCGATAGGAGGGACAGAGACGATAGGCTGTCTCTTTCTAGCATTCTTATCAGATTTTACCTAAGTTGTTAGCTCTCGGAAATAGTATGTTTTTGTGTTTGAATTTGTATGTTTTATATTTTATTAGGAAATAGGTAGCTAAAGGATTATGATACTAAAGTTTTGTGTAGATCACTTTAATAGTTTAGGCGTAATTAAGGGAAACGTTAAATATAGTTTTTTATGAATATTTGGTAGGTTATAGGTATAATTTTAATAAAAAAGCTTTTATTTTGTGTATTTTCACTTGCCCTGTTGAATAATGTATGATAGTTAGGCATTAAATCAATGTAAGTAGGTTTTTTAAGACCTTTAAATTTGTAACCTTTATAGGGCTATAGAGCCGTTGTTTGTTATTATTCTTGATAGAAGCTTATTGTACTAAATAGATAACGCATAGGACTACATAAATAAATAGGCATCAAATCAATAAAGATAGCGCCACACCTAAAATATCATGTTTACGGACGCGTAACTGCGCTAAAAATATGCCTATTTGTATGCTTAATGTATGTACATATATTTTTAAGCTCGCATCTATGTATTTTTTGAATAAATGAAAAATAAAGTATAGCGGGGGTGAGGTAATGGATCGAGCTCAGTCCTAGCATATAAAATTCGAGTAGGAACAGGCCTGGCTGTTGTAATGCCCACCCTATTGCGAGCGGCCTTCCGCAGCTCACCAAACCGATACGGGCGTGCTCTAATAGGGAGCCGCTCGTCAAAGGAGCGCATATGTGCTAGTTATCACTAGGCAGCGCTGCATCGTCCCCTTCCCAGAGGACGATCGCATCCGATGAAGCCTTAAAGGCCTTCCCGGCCAGAGGCAGTCCCAACGGGTGTTTTTTAGTCAGTAAGAGTCTGACATAACCCTGCAGCCGGCTGTAGGGTATCCATGAGGATTTCTCACCCGCTCCCCTGCCTGGGAGGAAACAAAGAAAAAAAAGGCTCCGACATGCATTCAGCGACAGGCCCTAACGAACAGGAAGAAACAAGCGGTTCACTCTGGACCTGAAGCCTCCTCTCGCCGGCCATCCATTATCAGCGCCCACCCATTTCTTCAATACCGAACACTGGGAGTTTTATTCACCGAAGCTACAGTCCACTATCGCCGTCAAGACTCCTGCGTGTAACTTCCTCCACCCCGAAGTACGAGTCGGTAACTGTCCGCTACTGCGACTAGAGTTGTTCAAAGTAGCTATAAAGCAATAGCGTGCTGCAAACTATATGCTACTTTTAAAAAGCGCCCTATTATATACGCTATGTTAATAGCGCGCTATTTACTTGGAAGCTTGTGGCGGTCCGTTGCCACGTTAAATCATGCAGCACGCTAGATGCTAGATATCGTTGAGTGTATTGCGTCACAATCTCGCAGGATCCCGGGTTCGATCCCTGGTCGGGTCAACTAATACAATTATTTATTTTCACACGTCTAGATTATTGTTGTACCGCCATTTTTTCCGATTCCCTTGGCACAAAAGCTTTAGCTAACTAATTTTAAATATTGTAAGTAATGTTTTACAATATTTATTTATTTTGATATCGTCTTTTATATATGCGATTATTAATAGTTTATTTCGTGATCACAAACACAAACTCTTTTAAAAAATAATGTTAGAAACCACGCAATCTATTTATCGCCCGCGATAATATTTTTCCTGCTGCGACACGACTTTGCGAAAACGAACTAGTAACGAACCGCTGCTATCAACGCGCACGCGATTACTGGCTGGCCTGCCTGGTAACGTCGCGTCTAGCGCCTCCCGCTGCCCGCTGCCGCGCGCGGTCAATCAACTCAATATGTGCTATATATCGTTAGCGTCTTGTAGCTTTATTAAATAGCACGCGATACGTGCTATGCACAAATAGCGCGCTATAATATGGCGCTAGACGCTATATTAACCACCTCTGACTGCGACAGCCTGGCGTCCCGTACAGAATCTAGCTCTTCAATTCCGCTCTTCTCTGCATTGCTTTTCTTTATGCGCCGGAGTAGTTGAATAATCATGCATTCATAGATAAATGACTAGTCTCACATCTCGCTACGCTCGGAGACCAACCATTTATCATATGCATGCCCTATTACTAGGTCACATACGGATATGCATCCCTGTAAACGAAAGTTTTAAATCGAGTTTATGAACGCAACTTAAAGGGACATTTGGTATAATTTAGATATAATGTAGATACCACTCTTGTTATTATCCATTCATAGCCAAGCTCAATAAATGAAAAAAAATATCAACTAATATTAATGATGTGTAACATCTTTCCTGCAAATAGTGATTAAGTAAAATGGGACGGAAGTGTGTAACACGAAGTCATGAAAGCGCGCATTATTTGATTTGATTTTAGAACATAATGTTCAAATGGCTTATTCCTTTTGTAGTAGGTTTTATTTCTGTTTTTACTTAGTAATATAAGGTGAGATTTCAAATATACGCAGCTACTGTAAGATTCGCTCGTTTTTTTTATCTATTATTGTTCTTTAAAAATAAAGTATTCTTCAGTATAAAATGAACAAAAAAATATTATTCAAATAAACTTTAAATGGTTTTTGGAAAAAACGGGGAAAAAATACTAAAGACGAGGCTGTATGGGCTTTAGTTTCCCTTGCCTTCCCTAAAAATGGAGAATATTAAAAAAAACAATATTTGATTATTTGTTTGTTTACATGTTTGGTTTTTATCATAGAGAAAAGTAATACACTGGAAAGTTTTTATTCTACTGCAACTGAAGTGAACTGAGTGCTAATAAAAAATAGCTTGCTACATATACAGTGATCTGTGATAAAAAAGGGTTCCAAGAAGGAAATTGAAGCATTACCGTCTAACGTCGACCTGAAATTTTTTTTTCTGTACAGAAAAATACAGACCAAAGAATAAATGGAAAATCCTGAAGATTTATTATTTTATTTTGGTGATTTATCAACAAATCGGAAACACCTTTTCCAAGATGCTCTCTCTTATGCAAAATTTGGAAAAGTACTTTATATAATAAATGAAGAGATTGAAGAACTACCACAACTATCTCAAGATTTGTGTTTAATTAGTAAACATTATATGAAAATGATAAATTTTCTCTATGCTAAAACATTAGAGTCACTGTTGGAAACTTTATCTAAGCTGCATGAATGGCAAAATCTTCCTTGTACAATAATTTTAGATGATATAACAAAGTTTTGCCATAAAGCAGAAGTACAAAAGGCATGTGGAATAATAGCATTTATGATTGACACAGCTTCCAGTTGCAGCTCTGTTTCTAATGTGCAATGTAGATTACGAATATCAATTGATGAAGCTGTTGGTGTAGACTTTTACTTTAAATTAAAAGAATTGTATGACATATAAATAAATATATATTAATATTATTTGTATTATAAAACTTCATGTAAGAAAAACAAATTAAAGATTTTAGTATAGTTATTTGAACGAAATAAACATTGATAAACATTTTGATATTTTTCATTGTACACTCTACTGCTACTTAAGCCACACTCAAAAATTGATGTTTGATGATTAAGATGCTGTGAATAGTAAGCCGCAGGGTTAATCTACGTTATAAGAGTGAGGATGACCTTTAATTGTGATATATGTAGGCAAGCAGGACCAATTTGCTAGATTGACTCTGCAGCAGGACAGCAGGGGTGTGAGACCCTGCTGTCCTGCATGTGTAACACAATCAAGGCAATTTCTCAACTAATCTTTTGATTTTTCAATAATACTGAACTGTTCTTTACTCATATATTTAGCTCAACTTATACTTGAACATTCATTCAGTGTTTTAGACAGTTCTGATATTGCTCCGATCGCTGAGCACCCTGTGACAGGTATGTGCATAGCCTAATAGACTAAGACAATATGTCATTATGGTAAAGGAGAAATTTAAATTTCATCTTTACCTCCAAAGTTTCATTGATACTTTCCAATTTTTTTCACAAATTTATGGAGCTGTGCTGTTTTCAAAGATTATTAACTTCTAAAAACTGGATTTTAATGAATGAGACAAGATCATCAAATATACATGTATTTATTTAACAGAATAAGGAATAAATAAACTTCTTGAAGGGAGTTTTAACAAAAAATGTGTCATTCATAATGGACACTTTTTAAATCACCTGAATTTTAATACAATATACAACAAGAAAAACACAAATATAGAGAATAAAAATAAGTAAAATATGTAATAATTGTGATTGCCTTTACCAAGTTTTAAAACTCTTCCCATAGTTTTGCCAAGAAATCCTGAACTTCTATCGACATCATCATCTAACCCTCTCAATATTTTATCTTGATAACGTACTTCATTTCCGATCTCAATGGACATATGTTTTAAAGTGCTTATTTTTCCACCGAGTTCTTCCGCCATTCTCTCATTTTCGTGCTCGAAGACATCGTCAGTAGGCTGTTTGGGTATTGGTTGATATGGATATCCTCCATCTCTGGCTCGACGCATATTGCTTCGTCCTGCCGTTTTAAGGACTATTTCACGATTATACGGTATAAAAAGAGGTAACTTTGCAAGGCGCAGTTAACTCAATTTATTGTATGTATTCCTTAAAAACTTCAATTTCAACAAATAATCCAAGAATTTTACATTATCTTATGTCAGCTACGTTGAGGAATTGATGCGGCTATAAAAGTGAATATTGATGATGCCTTACAATTTATATATATCAATTTACTCAAATAAGTAGATTTCTTCTGTAGAACGTACAGCAACTAATAAAAATCTTTCTTGAATTAGATTAATTTATTTTGTTCAATTCAACAATATTTTGACGAGTGACACTGACAGATAACTAACAACATAGCACTAGGGAAACGAAAAAAGAATCGATACTTTGTGGTATCGATACTTTGTGGTATCGAGTACTTTTCCTTTCTATACCGATACTTTTGTACTCGATACTTTTACTAAATGAGTACTTTTTGGCAAGTGTCGATACCTTTAAAAATTTGGATAAGCGCCTCATATTGATGGCAACGCCATCTTGTTAAATCATAGCAAACTTACCTTCTAAAACTTTCCATAGGGTATTTGACAAGTTTTACGCAACGATCTCACGATTGACTAATGTTTATGGAGTCCGTAAAAAGTGGATATTCATCATTCTGTCGTGTATTTCAGTAAAAATAACCAAATCAAAAACCCCATTTTCAAGTAGCCGCGAAAACATTTCTCTGGACAATATGGCGTCTTACTGGTGTGTGACGTCACACGACTGTTATTAAAACGTCAAACGATACAATGTAATGTCACTTTGACCGGAAGTTTACTTGCGTGGGACGTCATTTTAGGCTCCGCCAATGGCGCAGCGCCAAATTGATAGACCGAAGAAGGTGGTGTGTGGACTACTTGTCCCGGGTACCAGGGAACCACACACGATAGCCAAGCTGCTGTGCTATCAAAACAAACAGGCAGACGTCGACCGATGGTTACTGCATAAGGCCATCGCAGGGGATGACAATACGTTCCTGGTGTTCAGCACCACCAGGGATGTTGCAGAGAAGCTGCTGGAGAGAGGCAGGAGACTGTGCTACCTAATGGGTTAGGTGTATGTTAGGTTCAGGAACCAGGGCGGTCAATACCTGGAGAGCCTGCCACCTTTAGAGCCACCAACATCTGCTCCGTCGCCGAGCACATCAGGGGCATAGTTGCATCTACGCCCGCACCTACGACAGTGACTCCGACTCCAGCGGATCCCACTTTGGGTGAGCATGAAGTAGCGGATGTAATCGACGAATGGGCGGACAAACTGGGTGGAATCGACATCGGGCAAGAGGTGGATGTCGATGTTTTGTTTGCGTCCGATGGCGCCTCCACCGAGTAAAGTCAAGCTCATTCAGACAAACCTCCAGCACAGTCGCACCGCAACGGCTCAACTCAGGAAGTGGCTGGAGGACAACAACGACGGGGCTATTGCTCTGGTCCAGGAGCCGTGGATCAGATCCAACATCATATGTGGCCTCAACAACACCGGTAGTAAGAATTTTTACAACCCAGGTAACCGCGCACCGCGGACCTGCATAGTATGTTCAAAACACCTGCAGGCAAAAATAATGACACAATTTTGTTCTAGTGACATAACAACAATCCAAATAATATAACAGCAAAATCCAAGTGTACCTGTTCTGGTAGTTGCCTCTGCCTACATGCCTGAAGGAGAGGAAGCTCCGTCAGGGGAACTGGCTGAGCTGGTGAGACACTGCGAACAAACAGACAAGGCGCTGATCATCGGCACCGACTCCAACGCCCACCATCAATTGTGGGGTATGACGAAAAGCAACAAACGAGGTGAGGAATTAGTAGATTATCTATTTACCACTAACCTTAACATAATAAACACAGGATCTGAACCTACTTTTGTAACAAGAAGAGGCAGATCCATCATTGACCTTACACTTGCATCAAGGAGAGCAGCGGAACTGATCTCCGAATGGCACGTTTCCCCAGAGGCATCCTGCTCTGATCACAGGTGGATTAGGTTCAACATCGCGGTACAGCATGTTACCCAGCTACCCAGACGCATACCTAGTAAAACGAACAGAAGCCAGTATCGCAGACAGGTAACTCAGTCATTGCGACATATGCAGTCTGAAAGTTTGGACGAAACTTATAAGATAGACGAAATAGCTGAGGAATTAACAAGAGTAATCATCTCATGCTACTGATAGCATGCTGTCTGAACAGCCTGTCCTCTTAGTACACCATCATCCAGCTCGGATGCCAGCAAGTCTTGGTGGGGTCCCGAGCTGGAGAAACTGAGGAAAAAGGTAAGAAGACTTTTTAACAGGGCCATGAATACATGTGACGACCAGGACTGGGACGCGTCCAAAGACGCCAAGGCACTTTACAAACGACGCATTCGACACTGGAGCAATGGGTCTTGGAGAAAATTTTGTTCAGAAATAGACTCATGCACAAAGGCAAATAAGGTAAGGAAACTGCTATCTAAAGACAAGCAGCAAGACCTAGCACAGCTTCGGAAGGCTGATGGCTCCCTCACAGAAACAACTGAGGAGGCACAGAGGGTACTACTAGAAACCCACTTTCCGGGCTGCATCATACACAAGACACATACTTGGAATGACACTAGCTGGACCCCCACGGAACAATCCTGGAACACTGCATTGAGGACAGTGTCTACAGACAAGTTAAGGTGGGCCATTAACAGCTTCCAGCCATTCAAGGCAGCCGGACCAGATGGCATCTTTCCGGCGCTGCTCCAATGGGCAGGTGAAGCACTAATCCTTATCCTGGTGCCCCTCCTGAGAGCGTGTCTTGCATTTAGATACACGCCGAAGCTCTGGAGGGAGGTCAAGGAAATCTTTATACCAAAGCCAGGTAAGGCAGACTACCCCGTGGCAGTGTGGCTGGGTCTGCTATCGGGCGCGTCCTCTCGGGTGGCGGATGGGAGTTACCGGCTTCGGCCGGCGTGGACCATACCCAGCTGTGGAGACCTGTCTGGCATCCTGGGTATCCTGGGTAGCGGCAGTCGGGTCAAACTCGTAACCCTGCACATAGTGCGGGGCCGGGGGCCGCCGTTTGCAAAGGAACTGTTTCCTTTGGAGGCGGGGGCTGCGAGGAAGACAACCTCTCTAAAAAATTACCCGGTGGTGGTCTCGGCTGGCGCCCTGGGCATCCCGGATAGCGGCAGTCGAATCAAACTCGTAACCCTGCACATAGTGCGGGGCCGAGGGCCGCCGTCTGCAAAGGAACTGTTTCCTTTGGAGGCGGGGGCTACGAGGAAGACAACCTGTCTAAAAATCACCCGAGGGGTCTCTCGGCCGGCACCCTGGGTAGCCCGGGTAGTGGTGGTAGAGACTCTGTTGGTTGGGGCGGAAACGCCATTCGGTGAGGGTGGTTGCGGCGCGAACTCCGCGTCGCCTCCGGCCAGCCCGTAACCCCGCACGTGGTGTGGGGCCGGGGGCCGCCGTCCTTCGGGGCGGGGGCTGCAAGGAAGAAAACCTTTTCAAAAATTACCAGTTGAAGAGGCCAGGTAGGGTTCCCTCGCCCGGAAGAGGGAAAACTATATGAAAATGTCGACCTTTGTTTGTAGTATGTCATGCGCTCCCGTTGACGCCGGGCGCTCTGGGGTAGCTGGGCCCCAGGGTGAGAAGTTTGTAACTAGCGGCCAATGCGCTCCGGCTGGCCACCGGCGCTGCGGGATTACCGGGTCCCGCAGTGGTAAATTAGTTACCGAGGCGTTAGGAGGAGTTAAGATAGGCGTTTTGCGCCTTAGAGGCGGTGGAGATAGAGAGGATGGGATGGGCTTGAGACCGATGCCCCCTAAAATATGCAAGACACGGAAGGGGAAGGGTAAGAGCCAAACTCCCCCGGCTTCCCCTGCGGAGGTCACGTCATGAGAAGGAGAGATCCGGTGGAGTGAAGTGGACAACCTCACGGCGGACGAGTACCGTAGCGCGATCGACATGCGCCTGCGTATCCTGGACGGGAAGATAATAATCCGCGAGAACTATCTGAGTGAGGATCTTCTGAAGCCGACACGTGAGGCGAAGAATCTCCTGGAGCTGGCCATGAACAAACTAAAGGCGGCGGAGAGGCTGGAAGGGATAGAGGAGGAGAACCTCCGTATCAAACAGGAGAACCGGGAGATGAGGGCCGAGATCGACACCATGCGAGCGGAGCTGGCGTCGCTGAGGAAAGCTATGGAGGGGAGAGCCCATCCTGCGTCTCCTCCAACTACACAATTGGTGCCGCTGGAGGCCGTTGAGGAGCTGAAACGCTCCCTTATGATATCCATAAGGGAGATGGTCAGCACTCGGCTGGCCTCCTTAGAGGAGAGGCTCCCGCCGCCGAAGAGGCTCAGACCGCCGTTAGCGGCGGACCGGCGAGAGGTGGGGACCACAACAAGGACGGAACAAACAGAACCGGCGGAGTCATGGAGCGTGGTAGCCAGGAGAGGGAAGAGGAAGGTAGGGAGCACAGCCGCCGATCCCGATCCTGCGCATAAAGGAGAGCCCACACAGAATAAACGGGGACCGGCTCCAGGGAAGGCTGGGGGGCAGAGAATAAGGGTGCCGAGCACTGCAGCGGTGGAGGTGAGGTTGAAGCCTAGGGCGGAGGAGCTAGGCCTCACCCACACCAAGATTGTGGAGATGGCGCGGGCGGCTATCGAGTTGCCGTCCGTAGGGATTGAGGAGGGCCTGGTCATCAAGACCAGCCAGACGGGGTCCAGGCTCCTGCTGGTCTCGGACCCAGATAGCAGGGTGAAAGCTGACGCCCTGGCCAGGCGTATGGGTGAGGTTGTCAACGAGTACGCCGAAGTTGGTAGGCCCGAGATCAGCACGGAAATGAGAATATCGGGGTTAGACGAGTCCCTCACCCTAGAGATCATAGAGGCGGTAGCCAGGAAGGGGGGCTGCTCCATCGCCGAGGTGACGGCGAGGGAAGTGCACCCGGGACCGGGAGGCATGGGGGGGGGACTTGTCCGATGTCCTGCATGGGCCGCCAGAAAAGTGGCGGAAGGAAGTAGAATTAAGGTGGGTTGGAGCCTGGCGCAAATAAAGGTGCTCAGCCGGCGCATGCATTGTTTCCGGTGCATGGAGAGGGGGCACGTGGCAGCAAGATGCCCGGCCAAGGTAGATAGAAGCGCACTCTGCTTCCGGTGTGGGGCAGCGGGGTACAAGGCGGCGACGTGCGCCACCCCGGCCCGATGCGTGGTGTGTGCGGCGAGTGGTCGGCCGACTGACCATAACATGGGGAGTGGGAGGTGTGACCCGCCGGTCACGAGGGGCAGACCCCCCGAGAAAGGGCCCTCTGAGGAGTCGGCACCCGTACGGACGCCCTCAG